CGTGGACATGTGTGAGGTGGGCGTGGTCTGGAGGAATGTGGGCGTGGCCAGGGACTGGGACCCCTCAATCTGGCGTTGCTTGGGGGGGGTCCCATGAGGAAGGGGCATGACCAGGTCTGAAGTGGGCGTGGCCAAGGACCGGGATCTTCCAATCTGGCCTTGCTGGGGGGGGTGTTCCTCTGAGGAAGGGGGCGTGGCCATGAGGAAGGGGGCGTGGCCAGGTGCAGCCAGGTGAGGTTCAGGTGTCGGGCAGTGCCCCCGGACCTGACGCCGGAAGAGCGGCGGGAGCTGGAATCCATCCGGCGCCGGAAGCAGGAGCTGCTGGGGGAGATCCAACGGCTCCGCGACGAACTCAGCGAGGCCATCAGCGAGGTCGAGGGGCTCGAGGCCAACGAGGGCAGGTGAGGAGGCTCAGAATTCCTCAAAATCCCCCAAATTTCCTCAAAATTCCCAAAAACTTATCAAAATTCCCCAAAATTCCTCAAAATCCCCCAAAATTCCCAAAAAATTTCAACCCAAGAGCATCAAAAACATCAAAAATCCCACAAAATCCCCCAAAATGCCCCAAAAGTTCCCAAAATTCCTCACAATTCCCAAAAACTTATCAAAATTCCCCAAAATTCCCAAAAAATTCCAAGCCAAGAGCATCAAAAAACTCAAAAATACAATTCCCAAAAACTTATCAAAATTCCCCAAAATTCCCAAAAAATTCCAAGCCAAGAGCATCAAAAAACTCAAAAATTCCCCAAAATCCCCCAAAATTCCTCAAAAGTCCCCAAAATTCCCCAAAATTTCAAGCCAAGAGCATCAAAAAACTCAAAAATCCCCCAAAAATTCCCCCAAAATTCCCCCAAAATTCCTCAAAAGTCCCCAAAATTCCCCAAAATTTCCCAAAAGTCTCCAAAATTCTCAAAAAATTCAAACCCAAGAGCATCAAAACCTCAAAAATCCCACAAAATCCCCCAAAATTCCTCAAAATTCCCCAAAATTCCCCAAAATTCCCCAAAATTCCAAGCCAAGAGCATCAAAAAACTCAAAAATCCCACAAAATCCCCCAAAATGCCCCAAAAGTCTTCAAAATTCCTCAAAATTCCCCAAAATTCCCACCTGGGAGCATCAAATTTCCAAAAATTCTCCAAAATTGCAGCCCAGGAGCATCAAAAAGCAATAAAATCTCACTTGGATCATCAAAAAACTCAAAAATTCCCCCAAATTCCTCAAGATTCCAACCCAAGAGCATCAAAAACTCAAAAATTCCCCAAAATTCCCACCAGGAGCTCCCAAAATTCCCCAAAAAATTCCCAAAATGCCCCAAAATTCCCAAAAATTCCCAAAAAATCCCCAAAATTCCCCAAAATTCCTCCCAAATTCCCAAAATTCCCAAAAATTCCCAAAAGTTCCCTCAAAATTCCCCACAAATTTCCCCCAAATTCCCCCTAAATTCCCCCAAATTCCCCAAAATTTCCCCAAATTTCCCCAAAATTCCCCAAAATGCCCCAAAATTCCCAAAAATTCCCAAAAGTTCCCCCAAAA